CCCGCTCTCTTGGAACCAGACTGCAGTTTGCAGACACGTCTAGTCAAGGAGTGCTCATACGTTTTCGTTTGGCGTTTGTTCTTGTGAGAGGCTTATTTTGCAGTTGACGGCTGAAGCTGTTTCTGTAGAGCTGTGTCATGTGTATTTCCACTTTCTCCGTGATTTTGAATTTCCACACGACTGGCGGCAGTTGTCTTCAGAATTTTTGCACAATTCCTAGGTTGAGCATAGGGCAAAGCCAATAGAAGAGGACTCACATGGTTGAAACAAGCACGGCGTGCCAGATGTATGCCCTTTCGCGCACCACAGGGTTGGCAGCGAACAAGCCCGAGCCTTTCTCAGTTCTGAAGCAAAACTGGAGAGGGCGCTGAGTGCTTGGCTTAAGCCCGCGATTGATCCGGAACTTGGATCCACCTGAAGGGAATGTGGCTGTGGGTCAAAACCACTGGTACCATTTTGGGGTAGGTGCACCACCCATGTTAGTCTATTTTAGTGGGGATTGGGATGTTCACTGGGGGTACGGGCTTTTGACCCATGGCCATGTGACGAACCTGGACGCCCTTCGAGGAACGGCTCCATACTTTGATCTAAAATTTAAGACGCAAGAGTAGGTTTCTGCGCCAATCAAAAGTCGGGCACATTGTAGCCTGGCTGCCTTAGATTTCCCTCTGGATATGAGACCAGCAGAACCTTATTGATCGTTTTGTGGATGACTCGCAGGTGAACTCCTGGAAGTTTGAGTCGAAGAAGGATAGCATGGACGAGAATCGCCAATACGCACCCCCGCCTTGCAAAAAACACGCTCGCTCCCGTGCCGTGCCACTCACAGACTGCCCCCCCAAAGTGAGGTTCAACTTTGGTGCATTTTGCCAAGGGATGTCAGGACTTCAACTTGTTGCCAACTCGTGGGTTTTCCATTAAACAACTAAAAGTTAGACTGTTAGCAGGGGATCAGAAAGCAACTGAGTTAAAGCTTGGAGTTCACGAGGAGAATGAAGTGGTCACAGCAGGTGTTCAGCACAAGCAGCTGGCTGGGGACCATGCGATTTGAAGGGAGCCACACAAAATGATGTCGAAATGAAGAGCTCTAGCCTTCTTGGTAGCTTGGTTTACCATGAGTATCAATAGTTCTGCCTATCCCTAATGACTGCAGACTGCCAGGAATGAGTTCGACATGGCTTGACGCTCTTTTGGATGACCGTCTACAGTATCAATCAAGTGAGGCCTTCGCAGGATTTGGCAGGCACAACTTAGCCTTGGCAAGTTGGTTTCGACTAAGTGGCCGAGAGTTCGTTTGGCTTCAGCAATCTCCTTTTCTTGCGATGGATGCAACCTCCTGAACACGAATCACTGCAAGGTCTCAACCAGGATCAAGGCAACTAAATTTTGAACGTGCCCCACAAGGCAGCCTACTGTGGCGTATGTGGCGAATTGGTTGGAGGGCCTACTGTTGGGGGCTCGCAACAGCTGTGGACAAGTAGGTTTGCCAATTGCATGAGGAGGCATCACTGCGGCTCTGATCTTTCAACAAAGAGATGCCGGACTTCCTTTGGCACGCTTTGTAGAGCAGAGCGCGAGATTCCCTTTATCATGTTCCCATATTATGTTGCACAGCAGCCTTCCTGGCATGGTGTGTTGATCATATATATATATACTTATGATGATACAAGCCTTTTTGAAGATCAGTCGGCCCTTTCCAAGAAATGGGTTCCTTGGTGGCGGGAAGCATTAGTTTCTCAGAGAATATCAGACCAGCTTTTCTTGGCTGTTGCAGTTTTATGCCAAGCGTCGTGTGCGGTGCGGGGCTGTTCATTTGCACACTGGGGAGGTTGGCAGGAGCGTAAACACAAGTTCATTCCATGAGATGATTGAAGAATGGAAAAGAAATGGTTTTATGGGGGCTGGGGGGGAGGGAGGGGAGGGGAGGGGCTAAATAAGGGTTTTCTGGGCTTCCTCCCCCTCCCCTCCCTCCCCCCCAGCCCCCATGATGGTTTGTGCCTTGAGAGCAAATTGTCTGAATCAAACCCGAAGAGTCAACCCTTGACCGCCAAGCTCTGAAAGGTAAGCCCTGTGCTTCCAAGATGATTTTGGCTGGGTTGTTCAAAACGGGGATCTCGTAAGCCCTGAACCCAGCCACAATCAACCGTAAGCAATCTGGGAAACACAAACCTACCCTGCTACGCATGGGCTCCTTACAACGCTAACGTCCAAGGATGGGCGATTTGTGCTGCATGGAAGCCAACCGAAACACAGAAATGTGCACCATGTCTTCGCCCACATTCTCCCTTCACAAGGGCCTGCAGTGTCAATGCCAGTACTTCTGCTGCATGACCTCTTTCCCGCCCTCGGCGGGAAAGGCCGACAAGAGAAGCGGGACAAAACATGTTGCATGCCGCAGCCATTGTCTTTCTCAGCGAGGTAGTCCAGTACATCATCCAGAGCGAAGCCGGCTTCTACATGAAAGGCGTTCGTCTTACTGCCGGAACTGTACAAAAAATGAGTCCTTCGGCTGCACCAAGGTGCCACAAGTCACAGAACGTGACATGTGCGCTTTTTATACAACCAAAGGATCCCAACCCTCCTACCCAAGCCCACCACCCCCCCAAATTCAAAATAAACAGTAAGATTCGAGGAGCATATTCTTTTCACGCGTTAGTTTTTTGCTGGACACCTAGCTGCGTTAGAGCAGTTTGCTCTTGTCACATGCCTTACCGAGCGCTACTGAGCCTTACTGAGCCTTACCAAGACTCACTCAACATGAAGGGTTTTGAGCATTGCTATGGCTTAGTAATTCCTACCAAGCCCTGGCAAGCTTTGGCAATCCTTTGCAATCCTTGGCAAGCATTAGTTGGCTCTATCAAGAATCTGCGTTTCCACAACATTTGCCTCGAGTGGTCCTGGATTTCTCAATTTGGGAGGGGGGCTTGGTTGGGGGGGGGGAGGGACTGTGTGATACAATGGACACGGCTGAGAGTGCATCAGCGACCACCAACAGGATGTCGTCACGAAGCAAAATAATTCTATCTGTTGGACAGGTAGAGAGTGCCTGCCCTGCGAGAACTGCTCTCTCTCTCTCTCTCTAACTACTGCAACTTGTTCCTCGTTCGAGCAACGTTTGGTTTGTTGTTCACTTGTTTGGTGCCTGATCTTGGCACGTTGACCTGTTGCGCTTTCTTGTCCCCGTTGCCTGAACTTCTTATTGATGTTCCATCCAAAAGAAGAAAGAGTGCGCCAGGTGCTTCGCGTATTGGTCAAGTTGATAGATAGTTTGTAGAGGTCTAACTCTCAGTGAGGCCAGCCAGCAAGCAAGCAAGCAAGCAAGCAAGCAAGCGAGGTCCAGGTGCCGTGTCACCTGTGGCACCAGAAAACCACACACTTGATTGAACAGCCGATGCTGCATGTGCTGTGCTCAACACATTGCTGCTGTTTAACAGTTGCCATAGTTTGGCAAGCAACAATCATGAACATCGCATGTGTCGCCCCTGCGAAGTGTACGTGTTTGACATGTTGGGTTTCGGTAGCGCGACTCTGTTTCCCAATGTGACAGATGACACATTTTGAAGCCAGCATACAGTTGAGGGAAGTCCGGGCCAGAGATGCTTTTGTATGGATGAAATATGTAGCTGTCACAACACGGTGTATGATTACCAGCTGTCACAAAGGAGTCGCACATTCACATATCGCAGGAGCGTAAGTCCTATCAAGGCCTGCTGTTTGTGCTCCACCCATTGAGCTTGAACGCAAGCAAACATCAATCACATGGCTTTGTCAATGTAAGATACTCGGCAGGCGCCAGGGCATCAGCACGCGGCCGTGCAGGTGAACGTTGGCTGTGCATGTGCGGGCACTCACGTTCACAAGCACATTCACGGAGACTCATGCGCGAACATACAGACAACCCCACACAAGCACATTCACAGACACTCATGCGCAAACATACAGACACCCGCACGCAAGCAAGCACCCCACACCTACATTTAGTCTATGCACGCCCCAAGATTTATGGATGTTGAGCCAGAACAAGGTGTCTCACATCCCGACAGGGTGTTGATGCTCACGCTTCCTCACTGATGTGTACCGTCATACGCAGGATAGTAGCCAGAGACACTAAGTGCCAATTTGTTTACCAATCAAACGTGAACATGAAGATTCAAGCATATGTTCTAAGGATGACGAGCTGCGCAAACAATGGCATGCCTTTGCGAACGACCGCGCCAATTTGCTCTCGGATTCGTATATAGCTTATTCTTCAAGTGGCAGTAATGACTCCTGGGCTCGTGGCGTTATCTCGCTGTTGCTGTTATATAAATCCATCCCCATTTGATATCAGCTGCAGTTCCAATTCTTCAAGGGCTTTAGACCATTCTGTCATCGACTCGGAAGGGGGTCAGGATTGCAACTGTTGTAAATTGGGCATCCGCCTTGACAGGGCTCCTTAAAAGATACATTTTGCAACCATTTGAAACATGTTGCTATTTCCACCAAAATAAAGGGAAACCACCATTTACAAGGCAATGTTCAGGTGTTTTTCATGTAAGGATCCCTGCTTGAGGCTACTACTTTGCAGCCGCGACCTTCAGTATCTTCGCAAGATTCTGGGGCGTCAGCTGAGATGGCGGACATGTCTGGAGGCGTGCCGTGGGGGGGGTGGGCCGGAGCGGCAGCTTCGCTGAAGGAAGCAGACTATGTGCAGCCAGAGACAAGCATTTGAATTGACAAAATTTGAATGTCCTCTTCTTGGAGGCTTGGAGGGATCTCTGGTTACTGGGGAGTTTGTCCTTCCCTGGAAGCCCCTCTGTTGGGTTACTTGGTTTATCAAGCAGGGGTCGACCTGATGCGCCTTTCTTTTGTCAGAAGATTGCGGATCGCGTTTCGGCATCTGACAGTTGGCGGCTTAGGGTTGTTGTCCCACTTTGTACCTTAAAAACACACAGAGTTGTTGCCCCATTCTGAGGGAGTCTGCCAGGTTCAGGGAGCACGCAATGTATCTACGAAGGGAACATGGAATTGAAATGATGGAAGGCCAAACGGCATTGTTCAAAGAGTAAACCTGCCAAGCTGATTGAGTCTCGTGTTTGAATCATTGCCAGACTCCCCCAGCTCTCCCCATCGCGGAATCCAACAGATGAACGCACATTTTGTGGGCTTGGTGTCCACAAGATCCACTCCATGTGGCGCCCTGCACCCCCTTCACCCCCCCTCTCCCCCGCCCGACTGATTCGCATATGGTTGATCAGCCTGAAGTCGGAAAAGATACGACCAGATCCGTGCATGGTGCCGCTCCCTCCCGAATGTGCGAAAGCGTGCCTCTGGTTTCTTTGTTCGAGCTTGATCTCTCGGAGGGTTCACAAGTCCGTGTTTAGGATTCTGACGAAAGCCATCATGCCCTTGCAAACATGCTGCAACAGGTGCGCGTACACGGTGTCCTGCAAGTTGGCAACTGGCTACGCAGCTACAGCATCCCAAGCTAAAGATCAATGCCGGGTTAGAGCAGAAAGAATGACCCGACTTAGACTTTCGTGCCACAAATGTTTTCCCTCCGCAGGATCATGCCTTGTTGTGTGTGTGTGTACGTTACGGGTATGTGCATCTATATTAGCCATTTGGGATGCGGAACGCAGCATATAGTGCGGCAAGGCTGGATCACGCGTAATGGCTTTCCAAGCCAGGTCAGGAGGTCGAACAACTTGCTTTCAAATGCTTATCATGTTTGGTTTCGTCTCCACGGGAACGCTTTTCGTTGTTCTTTAAACCAAGCTCGAAAAGGGTGTTCTCATACAAGGCACACACATATCTTTTGTGCCATGGGCAAAGCACCTCATCTAAAAGAAGGACCCCTCATTCACTTTACTCGCCGGCCGGGAACTTCAAGTCCAGTCCGACGATGTGCTTCCCTTCTTTGAGGCCGGCATGAAAGCGCCGAGTGAGTCACAAATGGCTCGCCGTTCGGCCAGTTCGGCTCGCAGGGCGAATCGCAACTCCGGCCGGGCAAGAAGAAATCAGATGAACGGTTTGCAGACCTTTCGACCTTATAGCTTGTCAATCAGCCAGTTTTAGTGGGCCCCAAAGGGTTTTCATGCCTTGTCCCTTCTGAATACCCGCGCTGAAGGTTGTTTTTCAATCGCCTTCCTGAGCTTTCCGAATTTGCAGCCGGTGCCGGTTGTGAGCCTGCCAGAATGGTCAATACCATCAATCCTTGCCGCTTAGACTATTTCAACCTTGGGGGGCTCAAGAAGGTATGTGCTGATCCCAACGTGCAGAGGCAATTCCTCGAGCATGCGTACTCTAGTTCGGCGAATGAAATGCTGTAGGAGGTTTGCTTTTGCAAGTGGTGACCCTTGAAACAGCCTTGTGACAGGGTCGACTCGTTCAGCCGCGAATTGCAACAAAACAATTGTGACAGGTTATTGAGGGGGAATCATGCAGCAACTCTACCATTCTACTGCGAATTTGTCGACGAATATGTCTCAGCAGTGAGCCATCTCTGGTGTTTTTGTGGAACACATCCATTGTTTGCCTGAATGTACATTCATCTACTTTGACTGACCCCGACATCAGTTATCCTGTGCCATGATTGCAAGCATGGGCAAGAACTGGCATCATGCTTGCCCAAGCTCCAGCACGCTATGTGGTTGCATTCCTTGCGGAACCCTCATATAAGCTTAGCGGTGGTGGTACTGGAGGCAGCTTAGTATGCGTTTCACTCGGAAGTTAACACCCCTCCCACCCAACACCCCTAGTAAAACAATTGGGGTCAAAAGCCAGCACTTGACCGGAGAGCATAGGGTGTGAGTGTTTACCTTTTACCCTTGTCGCGGCCGCCTGGGCAATGGGTAGCCGTTGACCCAACATGCAGAATCGGTGAGCTTGTGTTGAACTTGCACCAGTCATTACACTTCTGAGGAGTGCTCAGCGCGAAAGATATAGCTAGCCTTGCGGGGAGCTCTCATCGTTTTGTCCGGCACCGGTTGCATGCCGCTTGCAGGCAAGGATAGCTCTTTTTCAAAGCCGAGGATTGCCCCTGCAAAACAGACCGGCGCCCTTGTAGGGCATCACGACCGCTGGAAGTCGGGTCCGTCCACCTAAGGTGGCAGGTCCAACTGCCCAGTTTGTATTTTCAAGTTCAGACGCAGCCAGGTCAGACAATGAGCAGTTGTCAAATCGATGTTTCTCTGTGATTAAATGTGGCCATGCGGATCGCTTGTTGTGAAACGGTACAACTTTGAGTAATAAGGTCCTGGTTCTGTCCTTTGCTTGTGATGGACATGGATGGGCTTGTTTCAGTCGACGATTGGGCAATACAATATCATGCCGTGAAGGTCAAAATCAATTTAAATGCTTTATGAGGATGGTCTGTTTTTCTCCAGTCATGACAATGGCTGATTCCCCCCCAGGTCGGCTCGAGAGTCCCAAGCAAGGGCCTTTCACAGCGGCCATGCCTCTCTGTAGTGATCCTCTAGAGCTGGGGCTCAACGGCCCCCGCTCACCCTGTGTTTTCGC